ACTTCATTATGATGGAGGTGAGTGCTACTGGGCGGTAGTCGTTGGGGCAGGTGATGATTGTCTTTTTGGGGACAGGAACGATAGTGGAATGTTTGAAGCATGTGGGGACTACAGACTGCAACAGGGACCTGTTGAAGATGTCTGTGAACACCTCTGCCAGCTGAACTGCACACACCCTGAGAACACGGCCAGGGATGCCATCAGGTCCAGGAGCCTTGTGTGGGTTAACCCTTTTAAAGGATTTACACACATCTGCCCTATTTAAAACAAAAGGGCAGTGTAGCTCCTGGTCCCTCTGTACCTCCACAGCCTGGCTGCTCTCAAAGCGTGCAAAAAAACTGTTTCAGCTCATCTGGGAGAGATGCGCACGCAGACACTCCCGCAGCACCCCCCGCTGCTCCTTTGTAGTCAGTCATTGTCCTTAGTCCCGCCCACATATTCCTAGTGTTACAGCCTTTGAAGTCAGATTCCACCTTTTCTTTGTACTGTCTCTTTGCATTTTTAATTGCTCTCCGGAGATCATACCTAGACTTCCTGTACTCCTCCAAATCTCCAGCTCTGCGTGCGAGTGGATCCAGGGGCTTTTGATTTGGGAATGTCCGTACAGAAACCTTCGGTACCACGTCATCGATGCATTTCCCAATGTAGCAGATGACAGTGTCCGTGTGTGTGTTGATGTTATTGTCCTCAAACACACTCCAATCCGTGGATGCAAAGCAATCCTGCAGTGCTGAATCTGACTCCTCGCTCCATCGTTGTACTGTCCTTGTTATCGGTCTGTCCCTTTTAAGTTTCTGCTTGTAAGCAGGCAACAACAGTAGTGAGATATGGTCTGATTTGCCGAAGGGAGGGCGAGGGAGAGCCTTATATCCATGTCGAAAAGGGGAATAAACATGGTCCAGTATGTTTCCCCCGCGCGTCGGGAAGTTGATATGTTGGTAATATTTTGGCAAAACCTTCTTCATGTTGGCGGTGTTGAAATCTCCGGCCACAACGAACGCCGCATCTGGCCGTGAAGTCTCGGTCTTATCAATAATCCCAAACAGCTGATCGAGTGCCGTGTTGTTGTCGGCGAGCGGCTGCGGGGGGATATACACTGCTGTTATCACAACAGATGTGAATTCCCTCGGCAGATGGAAGGCCCGGCATGAGATCATGAGGTGCTCTAGATGAGAGGAACAGTCCGATGAAATAATCTTCACATCTGAGCACCAGTTGTTGTTATTCATTACACACACACCGCTTCCCTTACTTTTCCCCGAGGTAGCAGTCCGGTCCTGACGAAAAATGTCCCGTTGAAAAGCAATCCGGCTTCTGAGTTCATCTAGCTCATTTTCAATGGACTGAACATTAGCCAGAAGAATACTCGGAAGAGGGGGTCGATTCTCTCGTTTCCTCAGTCTGACCAGCAGCCCGGCACCCGCGCTTTGTCTTCTTCTTGCGTCTCTCAGGTAGAACAGCAACAGGTAGCCATGGTGAATCTCCATTGTCGGAGGGTTATTATTGTCCACGAAGTTTCGCAATTGAAGAAGTTCCTCTCTGCTATAGTGTATGGCAGAGTGCGGTCGGCTAGCATGTTGCGAACCATGTTAAAAGTAAAACGGCAAAAGTAAAATAAATATGTACAAAATACGAAAATGGGCAAAGTTGGAGAGGAGCACAAAGATGATGCGGCCATCTTCACCGGCGCATCAGATCGTTGTTCACATTCCACAGTGAAGGTGTATGCAGCAGCCATCTCGTCCTGTCATGAGGGATTTGGTGGCAAGTCAGCCTTTAGTCAACCACTGATGTCGCGGTTTTTACAGGGGGTTAGGAGACTGCGCCCTGTAGTGCACGTCTCCACCCCGCAGTGGGACCTGCCCCTAGTGCTCGAGGCTCTGGCCTCGGGACTATTTGAGCCTCTGGAGCTCTCCTCTCTGAAAGCATTGTCGTGGAAAACAGCTTTGCTTCTTGCCTTAACGTCAGCCAAAAGAGTGTCCGAGTTAACTGCTCTGTCGGTGCACCCGAGTTGTTTACTAATTCGGGGTGACCAGAGCGGCGCGACACTTTGACCGAACCCCTCCTTTGTACCTAAAAACCTAAGGAGTGCGTTCAGGTCGAGGGCTATTCAGTTAGGGGGTTTTAGTCTCCCCCCCCATGGTGGGGCCAGGGAGGCTAAACTGCACCTCCTCTGCCCGGTGCGTGCGCTAGCATGCTATGTAGAGCGCACGGCTGCCCTTAGACGCACCGAACAGCTGTTGCTTCGGGGGCGGGGTGATCGGGAAAGCTCTGTCCAAGAAACGCCTGGCAGGGAGAGCCTGCCCCACGGGGATTCGTGCGCACTCCACACGGGCTGTAGCTGTGTCAACAGCCTTATTCAACAGTGTGGAGGATATATGCACAGCGGCGTCTTGGTCGACGCCAGGCCCCTTTATAAGGTTTTATCTCTTGGACATGTCTGGCTCTTTCTCCTCGTCTGTGCTTGCTGGGGCAACACAGCATTTGTAGGGGAGGGGGGGGTTGTGGGTCAGTTGGCATCTGACCCCCTCCCCGGACGTGATGCGCCTTCACCTTTCCTGGGCCCTCTGAGGGTCCCGGGATAGGCAAGAGGCGCGCTGGCCCGTTACGGGCGGAGGGGCTGCCCCCCTCCTGCCGAGAGGCGGGGGGAGGATAGCCCCCCCACATTTTTAGTCCTCTCACACTCTGCAGGGGGTCAGTGCTTGAGTGTGAGGCATGGGCGCTGGCGCTCTCCCTGTTATCCTTAGGGATTCAGGAAGGCAGGTGCGTAGTAAGCCCATACGGGGCCGAGGAGGCTCTCCCCATCCGTCTAGGGGCGGGGGGGGGGGGGGGGGGGGGGGCGTCCCCCGGCACTGTTTTTTGAGCACACCTTCTGCGAGGCAAGCGCAGCAGGGTGTGCTCTGTCAGCCGCAGCCCAGAATTCTCCTCGGTCACAACCGGGTTAAAGGAGAGGGGGGGGCAGCAGCTGCTGATCAGAAAAGCCGGTCAGGGGCAGTAGGGTGGATTGGTGTTGGACGACATATACATCAGGGCTCCACCCACTGTACCCATAGAGTCCAGTAGAGGGCGGAGCCTGTGAGAGATATAACGGGGGGTTACGTATTGTAACCCTAGTTATATAAACACAGGCGGAGCCCTCTACTCAGGGCACTGTCTGTCCTGTTCCGCTCGCTGAAGAGAGGTATAGGATAGCAGTCAGGAGGCGAGGCCTCCTTTTATACGGTGTGATGCGCGCGCATTCAGGTAGGCCCGCCCTGGGCCGGCTACGTCTATAGAAGTCTCAGTGGGAGAATGCACGCGGGATAAGGTAGTACCCATAGAGTCCAGTAGAGGGCTCCGCCTGTGTTTATATAACTAGGGTTACAATACGTAACCCCCCGTTTTACTCCAGAGTTCTTAACGCGGATCTCTTTAAACTCCCATGACGCAGTAAGCAGAGAGCTTAAACTCATCACTGCATCTGATTGGAAAACATCCAAATGGCAATTGTGATGGTTGCCAACAACCAGAGACAATACATCATGTATTTTTTAGCTGCCCGGATTATAACAGACAAAGACTCATTCTGAAAACTGCACTGGAACAACTCAACATCAAGGACATGGATTTCAAGTCAATATACGAAAGTAAATCAAGAAATGAAGCAAACAAGTTGATCTTCAAATTCCTCAAAAGCACTGGTCTGAGGACAAGGATTTAGTATAAACATTTAATAAATCAACAGTAGGTGGCGATATATGCTCCAAGTGGAAGCGATTCGCCATTAAAGAAAATAAGAAGAAGAAGAAGAAGAAGCAGAGAGCTAATAGAGTGGCGAAGTCACGCCCACTTACTTCCGGGTAATGGGACCTTATTTCGGAAAAATTATGCATTGAAGTCAATGGAGAGAGAAAACTTATCTTTCGATCCCGTTTGAATTGTGCCATGAATTACACATATGATGTTTGTCAATCTTAAAAAATCATTTCCATGTCAAAAAAGTCACAGTTTGTCTTAAAACTGTTGAAATATAAGACTATGAAAAATACGCAACTAGAAAGACTACAAATCCCAGAGTCGCGTAAGTGATGTCACAATTGAGACACTACGATATACGTATAATACCGTATATATACGATCAGCACCATATAGATAGAATCTATCTATATGGCGCTGGCTAAGATAAGATAACTTTCACAAGATGCCTGTGTGCTTAGTACCAGGTTGTTATTATACCAGCAATGGGTCTTGCTCGTTCTTTCGCTTCCCGTCTGATGAAAGAGGAGTGTGTGGATCAAGTTAGCTACCTAGCTAGTAGCTAGCATGTTAGTTAGCATTACAGCCTTGTCATTTTTATTAGCCTTAACATGAAGTAACATTAAGTAACCCAAAATGTTAAACAGTAAGAGTAGTAGTCATATTTCGTGAACCCTTTGAAGAGTACTGTCACCGGTGTGATCATTCTATAATACACCATTTAAGCCCTGGGGAGAAATGCTAACGCTAACGTTAGCATCGGCAATCTTCTCTACTTCATGCTATCTGCACAAATGGTTGACATTAAACATTAAAACGACCAGGCAGTTCAGAGAGAATCAAAGGAAGGCAGGCAGGCAGCTTTGCATGACATTCTTCAGGACGTGTTTCATTGTGGTGATAGTGAGGATAGTCAATCGTTTTGTTGACAAGACAGTAGTGACGGCCATTTTGGTGACGTGTGTTGTTGACCAGAGATGTAGTTCATTGAGCGTTTCACACAAACAAATGTGTTACTTCACAGTTTTACCACACATTTTTTTTTTTTTGACTTGCAAAATTATCTTTTAAATTGACAAACATCATATGTGTAATTCGTGGCACAATTCAAACGGGATCGAAAGATAATCTTTCTCTCTCCATTCACTTCAATACATAACTTTTCCGAAATAAGGTCCCATGGAGGTCCACCGGAAGGGGAGGGACTTCGCCACTCTATGCGGAAGTGGGTTTGATAAACGACACACGTGACCTCCCTCCTCTCCCGCCCTGCTCTTCCTCCCTCTGGCTGCCGGTTAACAAGGAAACATGTTCAGACTCACTCGCTCCGCCATGGCGACTCTAATATCTGCCCAACATGTCTTCATGTTCCTCTGGATTATTGGCTCTGTGGCTGCAGGAGGTGAGGTGTGTGTGTGTGTGTGTGTGTGTGTGTGTGTGTGTGTGTGTGTGTGTGTGTGTGTGTGTGTGTGTGTGTGTGTGTGTGTGTGTGTGTGTGTGTGTGTGTGTGTGTGTGTGTGTGTGTGTGTGTGTGTGTGTGTGTGTGTGTGTGTGTGTGTGTGTTATACTCAAGTACTAATATACTATAATGACTTTGTATACTGCAGGGTAGCTTGTGGATTTACTCCAGGTGGAACTAAAGTCTGATTTAACACTTGATTATATTTCACATCATTCATCCACATCTGTGAAGTAACTAAAGGGATTAAATACATGTAGTGGAGGAAAAGTACACCATTTACCTCTGAACTGTAGTGGAGTAGAAGTAGCATATTACTCAAGTAAAGTACAAGTACCTCTAAATTGTACTTAAGTACAGCATTTGAGTAAATGTACTTAGTTACTTTACACCTCTGTGCATTGAATGTTATGTCATGTCCAGAGGTAAATACATATTTGTTATCAAAATTGTTGTACTATATATTACTACTACTGGTTTGCATACTGTTGGGTCTATATATAATAACAAGTATTTCATTTCTATTTCACAGCATTTCATTTTAGAGCTTATTCAAATGTACATTGCGCCCCTCCAAAACACTGCTGATGTCATTTGAGACGGAGAGTTGTGATTGGCTGAAAGTGAACAAACACAAACTGACTCCCTGCTCGCTCCAGCCAATGGAGGCCAAGAGTCTTTCTCATTTCTAAATAGAGCCCTCCTCCAGCAGAGCTCTGATCCTCTGCTGTAACACCGACGTGCAGCCGCCTGGCAGGGGCTCAGTCAGTAGGGACTGGGAGCCATAGGGTCGCCGGTTCAAGTCCCTGAACAGACCTTAATATGGAGTGTGGACTGCTACTTGGAGAGGTCCCAGTTCACCTCCTGCCCTGCCGTGGTGCCTTGAGCAAGGCACCGGACCCCCCCCCCCCCATGTGCATGGCTTTTTTCCCTTTGTCGGACGAATAAAGGAATTAAACTTAAAATGAATTTACAAGTGATAGTCCTGCATTCAACATCTTAAGTTAAAGAACAAAGTATGTGAAGTATATCAGACTTTAAAGTTTAAGAGCTGTGCCGTTTCAAACAGGAAGTAGAAATGTGCAGGTTGAGCTGATCACCGTTAAAGAAATGCTGCTGACTTTTGACTTTCTGTTTTTCTGTAGCTTTGAAGGCAAAGCCTGGAGGAGACGTCACTCTTCCGTGTCACAGTCAGACAGATGCTAATGTCACAAAGTTGGTGTGGAGCAGACCTGGGCTGAAGGATGAGTACGTCTTCTTCTTCAGCGATAACAGGCTGAATGAAACCAACCAGGATCCACATTATCGTGGTCGTGTTGAACTGAAAGATCCACAGATGAAGAACGGAGATGCTTCTGTTGTCCTGAAGAACGTTGACTACGATGACTCTGGAACGTACGAGTGTGAGGTTAGAACCTCCTCCAATAGCCGAAGGAAGAGAAAAGTGCCGGTGCAGTCCATCCATCTGATCGTCAGTAAAGGTGAATAATGACTAATGTTCTGCTCTCGTTCTTTAGCTGTGGTGAAAACAGAGGAAAGGCATTTTGAAGAACCAGACTCCAGTTCCCTGAAGTCACCCAGGAGTGGGAGATAGTGGACTGAGTTACTGTGTAGCACACATTATACAGAGGGTGATCACAGTATGAGTACTACCATACGAGTATATATGTAGCACACATTATACAGAGGGTGATCACAGTATGAGTACTACCATACGAGTATATATGTAGCACACATTATACAGAGGGTGATCACAGTATGAGTACTACCATACGAGTATATGTGTAGCACACATTATACAGAGGGTGATCACAGTATGAATACTACCATACGAGTATATATGTAGCACACATTATACAGAGGGTGATCACAGTATGAGTACTACCATACGAGTATATGTGTAGCACACATTATACAGAGGGCGATCACAGTATGAATACTACCATACGAGTATATGTGTAGCACACATTATACAGAGGGTGATCACAGTATGAATACTACCATACAAGTATATGTGTAGCACACATTATACAGAGGGTGATCACAGTATGAATACTACCATACGAGTATATGTGTAGCACACATTATACAGAGGGTGATCACAGTATGAGTACTACCATACGAGTATATGTGTAGCACACATTATACAGAGGGTGATCACAGTATGAATACTACCATACGAGTATATGTGTATCACACATTATACAGAGGGTGATCACAATATGAATACTACCATACGAGTATATGTGTAGCACACATTATGCAGAGGGCGATCACAGTATGAGTACTACCATACAAGTATATGTAGTACACATTATACAGAGGGCAATCACAGTATGAATACTGCCATACGAGTATATGTGTAGCACACATTATACACAGGGTGATCACAGTATGAATACTACCATACGAGTATATGTGTTGCACACATTATACAGAGGGTGATCACAGTATGAATACTACCATACGAGTATATGTGTATCACACATTATACAGAGGGTGATCACAGTATGAATACTACCATACGAGTATATGTGTAGTACACATTATACAGAGGGCGATCACAGTATGAGTACTACCATACGAGTATATGTGTAGCACATGAAATACATATTATATATCTGAATGTATAGTGGAAGAGATGTGACCTGTAAAACAATAGATTTTGTGCTCAAACTAGCAGAATATTCTAAGGACCGTTCGAGGTGAGCTGATCACTGTTAAAGAAATGTTGGTGACTTTCTCCTTTCTGCTTTTCTCCAGATCCAGGAGAGGTGAGGGCAAAGCCTGGAGAAGACGTCACTCTTCAGTGCAACAGTCCCACAGATGCTGACATCACAAAGATAAAGTGGGAAAGACCTGACCTGAAGGGTCATGCTGTCTTCTTCGTCAGAGAAAACAGGCCGTATGAAAAATACCAGGATCCACGTTATCACGGTCGTGTTGAGCTGAAAGATCCAGAGATGAAGAACGGAGACGTTTCTGTTGTCCTGATGAGCGTCACCGTCAACGACACGGGAACGTACCAGTGTTGGGTTACAATTCCCACCATGCCAAAAGAACTGTTGCGCTCCGTCCATCTGATCGTCTCTGAAGGTGAGTTGGTGTTTCTCCTGAAGAGTTCCTCCATTGGCATGTTTAAAGATGATGTTGATGCTCTGTGATCGGTAGATAATGTCTGACATGAGACTGGAGAGGAAACAGATTCTGTTCTTCATCACCTTCATGATCAGCTGTTCTCCAACATGAGGGGGGGTCCAGTCGTTTCCTCACTGCTCTCTGTTTCTGTCCTCAGGTCCCACGAAGGAAGAACTGGAGCAAAAGCACAGTACAATACCTTGGTGGGGAGTTGTTTTGTTACTGGTTTGTCTTGTTGTTGTTGTTGTTGGTGGTTTTGCTCTTAGACGTTTGGTTTTTCCAAAACCTAAAAGTGGTCCTTTGCCGAGTTCAGAGGAGCGTGTTGCTTTTACAGTAAGTGAGTAAAGCACTGATCACTCACGCACCTCTAACACCCGACTGTCCTCCATCAACTGCTTCTGAACAAATAACAACTCCAAAGAGACCGTTCTGAGTATTTAGGGTTTATATATTGGACTCAGGAAAAAGTACTTAAAATACATGTTACCATAGTAACTGCACTTAAAACACATTTTGTTTAATTAAAAGTACTGTTACTATGAATACATTGTATTTAAGTTGAAGTACTATTACTACTATATTATATTTAAACAATTTCCCAATTTGGGATCAATAAAGTACTATTTTATCTTATCTTATTACTTATTTGAAATACACCAATATATATATATACTTGAAATACATGTTATTTAGGTAAATGTACTTACCTTTGAGAACATATCGAACATGAAAGTGCCTAAATCTGTCAATGTAAAGCTTGCTTTGTACTGTGTTAGGTATTCTTTGTTTTATATTAGATTTGTAGTTTTATATGGAGATTCTTTTTTTATATTTTACGACATCAAGTCAAATTCCTCGTATGTGTGAACCTGCAATAAACCCGTTTCTGATTTTGTTACATCTGGACACTGAAGTTCTTATTTTATATATAATTATTTCTTGTGTTTATTGTATATTGTGCACATGTGTTCTCTGTACTGAGCATTAGCTGCTAATGCTAACAGACCAAAGCCTCAGAGTTACGAAATATAATAATGCTTGTGACGTAGAAAAGGATTTAAAGACATTTTATTGAAGCCAAAGTACTGTTACGTTAAAAAAAAGTATTTTAATCAAAGTTCTGTTACTTAAACATTTTATAAAAGTACAGAGGGAAAAAATGACAGATTGTTAAAACACTTCATCAGACCTGGAAACATGGTGGAGGGTCATGTGACCATCAGACTCAGTCCTGATGGAGACGCCATCTTTGTAGAAATCATCAGAGGGGGGGTCGGCCATCCATCAGAGGCGTCCTCACATCTCAGAGAGACACGTTCTCCTCTGAATACCTGAGAGCTGCTGGGAGTCACCGTCAGACGAGCTGCAGGGAGTTATTGGAGTCTGAGTCAAACTTCTAAAATAAAACCGATCCCAGAATAAAGTTCACAGCAGTATGGAGACACTGATAAACCCTTTAGCTCGTTAGCTTCTGTCACGCTAACCTCAGGAGAAACTGGGTTATTGTTGGAGCAGAACACCTAGGGTGGTGGCTGAGAGCCCCCCCCTCTGCTACACGCCGTTCGTTGGATGAGGCTGATCTCTATTTAATAAAGAAAGGAATTGAAAACACCGGAATCAAAAGTTATAACAATTATCTGAGTTTACTGGTAGGAAACAAAACACGTATACAAGTTTTACAGAGTACTCCGGACTTCAGGTTTGTGATGCGATGCGGATACAGGTATCGGGACCAACCACTCAGCAAACAAGAAGCATGGACTTCAGGTTTGTGATGCGATGCGGACACAGGTATCGGGACCACTCATCAAACAAGAAAGCATTTTACATACAAAAACAACAGTATTCATATTCATATTTTGGGGCGGAGATGTGTTTACTTCTTCCTTCCCATTTTACTCCGAAGCGAATTAGAGAGTCCGTGAGGAGGAGCTGTGTGAGCTGCTCACATCCCCCAGGTGTTTTTACTGGTTGGATTCACTTCTGGTCGGGTTCAATACAGCGAATCAGAGTTCTGACCAGAACGTGAGATTCTGAAGTTCCTCAAGGGCAAAGTCAAGGTTCAAGGTTCAAGGTTCTTTATTGTCAATCTGACATAGCTACAGAGTAATTATGCAGTTGAAAATCTTATGTCACAGGCTTCTCCAACAATGCAACATAATAACATAACATAATAACAATAAGAGCAAGAGCAATACAAAAATAATAATAGTTATAAAAATGAAATAAAGTTATGATGTGGAATAGTGCAGTATGAGTCTATATACAAGTTATTGGAATGATATATATATATTAGGTATTAGATACATATTACTGAGTAGCAGATGAATGTTTGAAGTTGTTTCAACAGTTCAATTTTTTAACAGTCTCACTGCCCGCGGGAAGAAACTGTCTCCGAATCTTCTTGTCCTTGCCCGGATGCTGCGGTAACGTCTGCCAGACGGCAACAGAAAGAACAGTTTGTGGCTGGGGTGATGGGGGTCTTTGACAATCCGTAGTGATTTCTTCCTGAGCCGCTGGGAGTAAAGGTCCTCCATGGATGGCAGCTCCGTCCTGGTGATGTGCTGTGCAGTTTTCACCACCCTCTGTAAAGCCTTACGATCGAGGTCGGTGCAGCTGCCGTACCAGGCCGTCATGCTGCCAGTGAGGATACTCTCTATCGTGCACCTGTAGAAGTTGCAGAGTATCCTGGAATCCATTTTGAACCTCCTCAGCCTGCGGAGGAAGAAGAGCCGCTGTCGAGCTTTCTTGGTGATGGTGGTGGTGTGAAGAGACCATGTCAGGTCCTCAGTGATGTGGACCCCAAGGAACCTGAAGCTTTTGACTCTCTCCACCGTAGTCCCATTGATGGCGATGGGGGCGTGTCCCTCCCCCTGCTGCTTCCTGTAGTCCACAATCAGCTCCTTTGTTTTGCTGATGTTGAGATGGAGGTTGTTCTCCTGGCACCAAGATGTCAGGTTTTCGACCTCCTCTCTGTACGCCGTCTCGTCATCGTCTGTGATCTGGCCGATGACGGTCGTGTCATCAGCAAACTTCACGATGGTGTTGGAGCTGTGTGTGGCCACGCAGTCGTGGGTGAACAGGGAGTAGAGGAGAGGGCTGAGCACGCAGCCTTGAGGGGCACCGGTGTTGAGAATCAGGGTGGAGGATGTGATGTTTCCCACCCGCACTGCCTGGGGTCTGCCCGTCAGGAAGTTCAGGATCCAGTCACAGAGGGCGCTGTTGAGCCCGAGGTCTCTGAGCTTGATGGCCAGCTTGGAGGGCACAATGGTGTTGAATGCTGAACTGTAGTCAATGAACAGCATTCTCACATATGTGTTCCTGTTCTTCGGGTCCAGGTGTGAGAGGGCAGTGTGGAGGGTGAGGGCTATGGCGTCGTCTGTGGACCTGTTTGCTCTGTAGGCAAACTGCAGGGGGTCCAGAGATTCAGGGAGGGAGGAGGTGATGAATAATTTGACTAACCGCTCAAAGCACTTCATTATGATGGAGGTGAGTGCTAATGGGCGGTAGTCGTTGGGGCAGGTGATTATTGTCTTTTTGGGGACAGGAATGATGGTGGAGTGTTTAAGACATGTGGGGACTACAGACTGCAGCAGGGACCTGTTGAAGATGTCTGTGAACACCTCTGCCAGCTGAACTGCACACACCCTGAGAACACGGCCAGGGATGCCATCAGGTCCAGGAGCCTTGTGTGGGTTAACCCTTTTAAAGGATTTACACACATCTGCCCTATTTAAAACAAAAGGGCAGTGTAGCTCCTGGTCCCTCTGTACCTCCACAGCCTGGCTGCTCTCAAAGCGTGCAAAAAAACTGTTCAGCTCATCTGGGAGAGATGCGCACGCAGACACTCCCGCAGCACCCCCCGCTGCTCCTTTGTAGTCAGTCATTGTCCCTTAGTCCCGCCCACATATTCCTAGTCAATCTTATCTCTGCCCCGATATCCACTCCCTTACTTTCCCATGGGATCTTTCACATAAACTATTCCTTCTCAGACAATTAAACATTGCACACAAATATAATGATGCCCAGAAAGAACCTTGAAAAGAATATGTGTGTGTGTGCTTAGTGAAGGAGGTGTATGTGTGTGTAACAGGATCTCTGGGTCAGTGAGTTGTAAGTGAGAATATAATATCTATATATGTGATTACTTAAAACAGTTCAAACAATACATGTTCACTAAAATACAATTCAAAATAATACATGTTTACTTCAATACAGTTTAGAATCATATCTTTTTACTTCATTATCCAGCAGAGTGATAGAGTTTGACTGATTCAAGTAAATGGTTATAATTGTAACTACAGCTGCAGAATTAACCAACGTGTTATCTAAATATCAATATTGACTCATGCTATATCCAAATAGCAGTGAAGACAAAATATGTGAAATATCTGAATGAGGTATTCTACAGACTTAATTAAAAAACCTTGTTAGTTTACAGAACCTCTTAAAAAAATCACACAATGATAACTTTAGTACATTTTCTATGATGTTGAGAATAATGATGCAAAAACTGAGATTTCCTCTGATATTGAAAATCAGTAAAAAATGACTGCATTCGTTCTCTTTTTCCAAATTGTGCAGCTTTCATGGTTATCTTTAGATTTGTTCCACGCCTCTAGCAGATATCATGCGTTATCTGTTGGTGTAATTATCAAAACTAAATGTTCATTATGAAGTACCTAAACTTAAACAGGAAGAAATATTCAACATATAGTTTGAGAAACTTTAAGCAGAAAGACAGAAATACCTCTATATGTTTTGAGTATAATAACCTCTGACTCCTCGACTCCTCGAATAAAATAAATTAAATAAATTAAATAAAATAAATAAATGTAATTATATATATTTAAATGTTTTAAATGTTTATATTTTATATTTGTTCATTGTTCTACTGTTTTTATTTCCACATAGTGTCCAGTGCCTTGCTTACCATGCTGCTGCTGAGATGGAAACACTTCAGCCTTAATTATCCCCCAGTAAATAAGGGTTATTAAAGTAACCTTTTTATTTTCATTTAAGATTAATTTGAAAGAAAAGCTAAAACAGGCTCACCAGGAGTAACTACAGTCTGATTATAATGATTGATGCATAAAAGTATTCTCATCAAAATATAGTTAAAGTACACTAAAAGTAGTCATTGTGCAGATTGGTCCATTTCAGAATAATATATATGATATGTTTTATAATGATTGATCATTAACGTGTTCTCAAAGCTGGTGAAGTAACTAAAGGTATTAAATACATGTAGTGGAGTAGAAGTACACAGTAGCATACAATGTAAATACTAAATAAAATAAATATATCAAAATTGTATTTAAGTACAGTACTTGAGTAAATGTACTTCCAATAATCACCCAACCCCCTTTTATTTCTACTTATTACCACAACTCGTGCTCTTCTCATTTAGTGTACGCTCAGTAAAAAGATAAATAGTTCTTTATTTTTCCCAAAATGTGAAATAATTGTATGTTAAAGCACCAATTTTGTAATTTTTAAAAGGTGGGAAAAAGTACAAACATGATTAAATAAAAACAGCAGCAAGTCTGTACACATACAAATAAACCAATTAAAGCTGATTTCTGAGTTAAAAAGTACTTTAGTTTCTTTACACCGCTGACTATAAGCTTTATAAAGAGTCACTAAAACAGGCTAACCGTTAGCTTAGCTTTTATCGGTCACCTAATCTCTTCATTTTAACGGATAACGGGGATTAACGGGTGAAGTTTAACGTTAGTGTCGGTACCAGAGAGAAGACAGTAATGGTAACATCCCGTCTGCTGGAGCTCAGCATCCTCTTAGTTTATCACTTTGACGCAGAAACAGCAACAGAGGGTGTTTCTCAATGTCAAGGAAGGCTCCTCCACTATTTCAAGGATGCTACGTCATCGAGTCCCGCCGAAGGACTTTGCCTCTGTTGTTGATATTTGTGGTTTCTGCTACAATGTGCACCAATATGTGTAAAAAAGGTTTGCAGACATCAAGTATGATATATGAATGGAAAGGATGTACAGAAACACTTCTTTGGAAAACTATGAGAATGAAGAAAGGTGATTGAAGATGAGAAATGTATGTACATTTATAAATGTAAATATGTAAAAATGTAAGTAGGAATAACTTGCAGAAATGATTTAAAGGATAATCATTGATCAGCAGTAAGTAAGGGGTGGGAATTATAAGCATCTGCTTCCTCCTGCTCTCTTTGGACACATAGGATTTATTATTATTATTATTATGAATATTGATGAATACTGTATTCTAATAATAGGGTATTCTGTTTTTCACATTTGTTATTTTTTATTTGTTTTTTAATCTGTTCGAAATAAAGATGGAAATGAAAAATGAAATGAAATACACATTGTATTATTGATTGGTGATTTTATGATTTTCTTATGGCTGCTTATCCTCCAGGACTTTTTCAAGGCTGCAAATAGAAGGAGAACGTGTTATGTTAGTTGAGTCAGCAGAGGCACAGTAAACGGCAGTGGAGGAAGGAAGCTGGCTGGCACGGAGACGTCAGGGACAGGAGGCAAAAATCCAGGCGAAGAGATCACAGGGACGAGGAGAGCAGCGAGACACACCGGAGGGTCGAACACAAAGGAATGATCTGGCAGGGAAGTGGCATGAGGACCGGGCTTTTATATCAACAGGTGAAGAGGTGAGTGGAAACAGGTGTGCCTCGTCTGCTGCTGGGAGGAGCCAGCCAACTCCCTGTCACACACCAGCCCTGCAGAGGAAAACAGAGAAGGGGGGGGGAGACAGAAGAAAACACAAAAAAAGCACACAACAAAACCAAAACTAAATACAGTATCATTATATTGAATAGCAACGGACTGCATACACTACCTTGTGGAGTACCATTCTCCACAGCATAAACACTTTTCTGCACCTATACTCTTACTTGGATTTTTCTGTCCACTAAAAAATTCATAACCCAATGATATGCTTTACCACCAATTCCCAATGATTTTAACTTCCTTGATTAGTAGTCCTTCCTTCCAGAGCATGTCATAAGCCTATTCAATAGAGAGGCGAAGTCCCTCCCTTTCCGGGGGAGCTCCATGGGACCTTATTTCGGAAAAAGTTATGCATTGAAGTCAATGGAGAGAGAAAGATTATCTTTCGATCCCGTTTGAATTGTGCCATGAATTACACATATGATGTTTGTCAATTTAAAAGATAATTTTGCAAGTAAAAAAAATTAAAATGTGTCGTAAAACTGTGAAGTAACACTTTTTTTGTGTGAACCCGCTCAATGAGCTACATCTCTGATCTCGCACCACACACCAAGACGGCCGTCACGTTGGCACATTTCACTTCTTTCTTTCAGAATGAGGCGGAAAGTATTAAAAGAGTTGAAAATCACTCCAAGTCTGGGCATGTTGAGAGCTGTACATACACACAAGGGGAGTTAGTCGGTTCCTAAGAGCCAGCATGCGGGACCGGGACTCTGGGATTTGTAGTCTTTCTAGTTGCGTATTTTTCATAGTCTTATATTTCAACAGTTTTACGACAAACTGACTTTTTTGACATGGAAATTATTTGTTAAGATTGACAAACATCATATGTGTAATTCGTGGCACAATTCAAACGGGATCCAAAGATAATCTTTCTCTCTCCATTGACTTCAATACATCATTTTTCCGAAATAAGGTCCCATGGGTCGGAAGTAGATGGGCGGGACTTCGCCACTCTATATCAATTACACTCTGCTTCTTCTTCTTCTTCTGTGGTTTAATGGAGGTCTTACTGAGCTCCACACCGCCCCCTGGCGCTGGAGGGCTGAATACCCAACAGGACATCTGACGTCCTTAAAGATCTAATAACAGAGTTTTGTTTTTGAATCAACTTTTTTTATGAAAAATCTTTTATGTCATTTCCCTTTTCCAGGAATCTCAACAGAGAAAGTTTGGCTTGACTAAAACATTTATAATGTTAAATAAATGAAAACAATTCACTGTTAAGAATGAGATATTAATTATTAATGCCATTGATTATTGCAGACATTCAGAAGTTAAATCTATTTCTCTCTTAATCTAAGAATGATCTTAACCCACTCAAAGGATTCTCAAATAATCAGGAATAACGTTGTGAAAACAATAACTCATCTCTCTCAGATTAATGTGCTCAGGTTTTTCATTACCACCTACTACTGGATATATAATACACTACCTTTTCCAAAAAACACTATTATAACTAAAGGAAAATATACTAATACAGAATAAATAATAAGCTACACTTTATTTTTTTGGAAGGAGTATTTCATCTAATTGCTCTGAGAGGGAAAGGAAACCCAACACAACAAACCCTAATGATGAAATACAAGTGTTCCTGTAAGGCAGGTTTATTTAAAGCTTCTTCAACACGAGGCGATTCAAAGTGCGTTACACAACTGAAAGACATTAAGAAATAATGCAGCAGATCATTCAAAAGCAGAGGGACTCAAATAAACATGAAACTAGCTGATATCGAATAACTCAGGTATACAACACATGAATAACAGTTACTGTGCATCGTGAGATAAGAATAGTTCAGTTCAAAGCAAACAGGAAAGTCTTCAGTCTGGATTTAAAAGGACCTGCAGGTTTCTGGGGGTTTGATCCAGATATTTGGAGATTAATAACTGAACTTCTCCAGGTTTAGTTCTGGGACAGAAAGCAGACCCGTCCCAGAAGACCTGCAAATCATTTTGAGGATGCAAGCTTTAAAAAACAGGGTTTCTATCGGAGTCTGGTGAACAGATAATGAATAAGAGTTTATACGCAGAGTTATTTAATGTAACTGTAAACTAGACTCACCTTCCACTCGTCAATAAGTCAATAAAGATCCTGGAGCTGATTTTCTACAAGATTTCTATCAAATAAACAATGTTCCAACTTCTACATATGGTGATGTACATTTAATACATACATCACTGTTGTAATGTTTGTGAAAAGCTTTAGGAGATTTTTGGGATAAATCCTGAATGAATTCAATGATTTTAAAAGTTTAGTAGATTTTCCTGAAATGTGAAAGAAAATGGCCAAAATTACAACTTTTTAATTGTTTAACTTTAGTATATGTTTTCTTTGTATCTGCATATCTTCTTTGTACTGAGCATTAGCTGCTAATGCTAATAGACCACTGCTTCAGAAATAAAGGGAATAATATTGCATGTGCACGATATCAGTCAATACATGATTGAATGTAATTACACTGAGTTCAAAACATGGCGTTCCTCAGGGAAGCGTTCTGGGTCCTCCACTGTTTCAGAACTGATGCTCCGTGGTGACAGCAGACATGACATCATCGTCGTCATCGTCCAATCCCTGCTCAGCGTGGTCGCTTCCTGTTGTCAGAAAGAAAATGTAGAAAACGTATTAAGAGTTTTGGTAGATATTAAATCCCTTTAGATCAGGGGGGTCAAAACTTCTTTCCCGACGGCCGCATACAGAAAAATAGACGAAGGGCTGGGCCGCTCACTAGAGGTTTATTACCTCGTAAGTTCAGTTAGTAAAATCAATCAAATGTAGGTACATGATGCTTGTTAGTGTTTAGCTCATCCCTTAAAACAGATCCTCAGATTGATTATAATAAGAGGAAATATGAAGGTTTATTTCAAGCTTGTTGTGTAAATAAGTCATTGGGCTTTTTTCTTATCAACTAAGATTTGTTAGAAAATGTTTCCAACTTTAATTGACTGAATGTATTTGAAAAGTGTTCTCATTAACACATGAATACTACTGTGATATATGTTTACATTTATATTTAAGAAGTACAATATAAGACAAGCACACGTTTCATTTGTGGGCCATATTCCATTATACTTTTTGAATTAGCTGAGGGCCGATTCAAAATGGTCCGCGGGCAGCATTTGGTCCCTGGGCCGTAGTTTGGACACCCCTGAGTTAGATGTAGAAACTGAGAGAAGTTACCTCTGGCCCTCTCTCGATATATAGACACCATGAGGAAAGTGGAGATGCAGTACGGGCAGAAAACCACCAGGTGGCAGATCACCCTGAACACAATATGGAGGAAGCGGGGATGAGGTTGGGGTGTGGTCGGGTCCATGGTGGATGTAGGAGGAGAGGAAGTAGGCGGGTTCGTGGTGGATGTCGGAGGAGAGGAAGTAGGCGGGCTCGTGGTGGATGTCGGAGGAGAGGAAGTGGTGGTAGGTTTTTCTGCAGAGAGAATCACACCTGGTCAGGTGAACATCTGAAGGAATGAGTCCTGAAACCAAAGGAAAGCTCCTCACCTGAGACAGACAGCCGGCTCTCTGGAGACTCTCCTTTACTCTGGACTCTACACTTGTAGAGGCCTTCATCAGACCTGGAGACATGGAGGAGGGTCATGTGACCATCAGACTCAGTCCTGATGAGGACGCCATCTTTGTAGAAATCAGCAGGGGGGGGGGGCGGCCATCTTTGTTCTACAGATCAGAGTGACGTCATCTCCCTCCATCACAGGGAGGGCAGGACTCTGCAGGATCACTGATCCACCTGAACAGAGAGACAGAAACAACATCTACTCTGACAGGATAAACTCTATATCTGAACAGAGAGACAGAAACAACATCTACTCTGACAGGATAAACTCTATACCTGAAGAGACAGAAACAACATCTACTCTGACAGGATAAACTCTATACCTGAACAGAGAGACAGAAACAACATCTACTCTGACAGGATAAACTCTATATCTGAACACCGCTGTATGTGAACACGAGATGGAGAATGAACGTGATAAATAAATTACAAATGTCAGAGATTATTAATGAACCCACTACCTGCCAAATGTAATGATTGGTTCTCAGGGACAGTGTGTGTGTGTATGTTTTCTTGTTCATATGTACATATCAGGACCAACTGGAGTCGTAGAACTTAAGAGGACACTTTAAAAAAGTGAATTTTCGCTTAAATTATGATAATATAGAACAAAATAAAATGTTTGCCAGTCCCTGAAGTATGAGTCTGTACTGAGGTGTATTTTAGTGGATGATAGTGTGTGTGAGAATGTGTGTTTTGTACCCTGTGGTTAGCACAAGCTAGCAGCTCTGCGGTCGTCCAGCTTCCTCTCTCTGATGAACTTCTTAAATTATGTTTAGTATTGATGAGGAAACAGAGAGGCTGATCTTACCAGAGACGGTGATGGTGATGGTGTTACTGGTGGATCCCTCTGTGGACTCACACCAGTACACTCCACTGTCCAAAGGGTCAGAGGAGCTGATGGTACAGGAGGAACCAGCAGGTCTTCCCCAGCCGACTCCACACTCAGCTCTGTTCTCATAGCTCCTGTTTCTCCTCACAGTCCATCCATCAGAGGCGTCCTCACATCTCAGAGAGACACGTTCATCTTCAAATACCTGAGAGCTGCTGGGAGTCACCGTCAGACGAGCTGCAGGGAGGAAGATTTATAAAACACTGAAGAAGAAGAAGCCACTGATATGTTCACTGATTCATTTCATTTCATTTCAAACCTTTATTTAACCAGATTGTCCCCTGAGATCATAGATCTCTTTTTCAAGGGAGACCTGCAGCAATTAGGTTCCACATGAAACATAAAACAACATAAAACAATAGAGGATATCATACAATATATTTACAAGCTACATTTACATACTTATCAACATTTATAAATACCCATAGTTTCAATGAGTATTTAACAGCATTAATCTAACATGCGATGCAGAGTTCAGTATGTGAGGACAGAAAAGAGTTCAGTTACTCTGAGACTAAAGTGATGCATCAGGTCAACAGAGACACAGCTTTGAGTTTCTAAGACGGAGAAAGTGTACTGACCCTGGTTAGTGGAGCAGCTCAGCAGGGAGGTGAGGACTGAGGAGAAACCACAGGTTAGTGTGAGTTTACTGCGACACACAGGACACTTCAACAGGTCTGTATGGTGCTTTTAAAACACATTAATGTAGTGCAAAGTTAGCACGAGTCAGACTGGATAGAAGTCTGAGAAAATACCAGACTTCTCTTTTAGCAGGAACTTGAATGCACCACAACAATCATATTAGTTTGCAGTTTCTGCTGAACGTACCAAACAGTACAGAGAGTTACATCTCTCCAGACTCTGGATGCTTGTTGTGAAGGTCAGTGAACTCTCAGATGTTTTCATGATACCTGAACGTCTTCCCTCATGCTAACAGAATAAAGATTGTACTTACAGACGAGGCGTTGAAGACTTGTTGGATCCATTGTACCTCTTTGTGATGTGACATCAAACTGTTTCTCTGAAAGTAGCCCACAGCAGCGTTTCCTTCCTGTCACCGCTTCCTTCAACCTTAACACCTTTTAAAACACATATACTAATCCTTCAGGTTATAGGTTTTACTCTTGGCTACTCGGCTTGTGCGATTAATAAAAAATAAAATAGCTTCCACACAAATAAGACTCAGAAAATACTCTTTCAGTCAGAGTGAACACAACAACAAGAGGCACAACTCAACAAAAAAGCTTTTATTGAAGCAAACTAAGATTCTCTTTATATATTCTGTTGGATGATAAACGTTAAATAATTGTAATAATTGTGTCGTTATCTTCCACACAGGTTGACCACCTCTGTCTCTAATTTGGCTGCAACATGGGAATTGTAGTCTTTTATTCACCATGCACTTCACAAATAATCTAAATAATATCGCCACTAGATGGCAATATTATTTTGACCATAACAAAAAACTGTCTCACTTCCTCTTATTATAATCCTGTAAAATGATCTTAATAATAAACAACAATACACTTTTCGTGTTAAAAGTGTTTTTGTATATATAAGTCTTAACAACATTCATGGTTCATACATTTTATTGTGTACATTTTACATGAATCTATTTGTATATGTAACCAATATAATTTGTTTGGTATGGTATATAATATTTTGATATACATTTGAATACTTAGTCAAACAAATTGTGTGACAGAATTAAATTATTGGATATTTTTTAAGTTTCTTTATCCATATTTTATTATTATTCAAAAATACTGAACATGTTTAACCTGTTAAGCCCTGAGCCTGTTTTTCAGGTCTCAGGCTCGAAAATGACATTCCCAGAACAAATGACCATATCTTCTAAAAGGGTTAAATTAATAATATTTTTTCTCAAAGTAATGATAAACCTGTGAGTTGGATGTAGAAAAGTCAGAACAATATAGATGTTTTTTATTTTAAAGAAAATTCAGATTTTACATAGCAAAAAACTGTAAATTATAGTGTCCATCCAAAAATTATTTTTTACTTGGATGATGGTAAGGTAGACTAAAAGCTTTAGGAATCCAAAGTACATGATATAATAAGTACCCTGTATCAAGATTGATGCAAAACAAGTGACATTTGACCTTTTTAGAGAGGTTTAGCAAAAGAAACTCCACCTCTGGGGTCAATTGGGTGGAAATTGGGTTTTTTCCATATCTCTGGCCCCCCTTTGTCAATTTTGATGGTTGACACCTCTTTCTGACCGTTAAAGCCAATAGAATCGAAGGGAGATTCCCCCACACACACACGTTGTAAAACAAAAAGGTGGGGGCTTTGCGCATGTAGTTTTGCATGAGAGTGAAGATATCCCTCGCTCTGACATCTAGAAATGGAAAAGCAGTCTTACTTCTCATGGATTATCAGAAATCATTTCAAAGGGACACAGACACATTGGATTAACCTATGGATTAACTTCAGCAGCGTTTTTATCGTTTTAATGCCATTGAAGACCACTTTGGAAAGACTACAGAGACAAGGTAACCATGTTAGCATTTTTAGCTACCTAGCGCCACATGTTTTGATGTCTGTTTTTGTTTATAAAGTCACGATTTCGTATAATTGAGTGATAATGAGGGTACCCTTCGATTCTGTGTCACCTCACGATGTGAAACGATGTCATGGATGTGCAGAAAAGATAAATAATAAGGTTTTGTGAGTGATTTTCGGAGCAGTAATCTGTTTGCATTTTACGCTCGTTGCTAATTCAGAGGCTCAGTGTTAGCATTGTGGGTTTAAAAACAAATACAAATAAAAATGATCAGTTAGATGAGTTTCTTCCCGTTACATGGATATAAAACATTCATAGTTTATTAAATGAACATGCCCTCACACACTGTTTCCTGCAAGATGTTGCGGCAGTGCCCTGGTACCGGGGTCTCTCGGGCTTAACAGGTTAATTATTTTACTGGTGATGAAGTATTTTAAACCAAAGTATTTGTAGTTTTACTTCAGTAAAGTATCTGAGTACTTCTTCCATCATGATTTGATATACAGAATATAAACTACACACAGGCCCTTCCTCATTTAATTAATTTCCCCTCCTCGACTCCTCGGTCCTCCGGTAGTGACCCGGAATTGAATTTCAGCGCGCCATGTTGAAGGACATCTCATTTCTCTAAATGCACATCGAGGACCGAGGATCGAGCGTGTGTGTGCAGAGCTAAACTAACTGAACTGATTTAATCTATAATAGTTATTACATTTAAGGTATTATTTAGTGAAATTACAAAATTGCGTTTTTTTTAGGTTATTTAAAGAGTAAGTAAATTTGCTTTAAATATCTTTATTTAAAAAAATACTATTTCATGTTTGTAAAACTTTAATTTTTATAACAAATATTTGTTGTATGTATTATTTTGTATGTTTGTATACTAAAAGCGTCATGAAAGACTCTTTATTCTAAGCTAATAATAATTAAGTAATACATTGTCAATCTTTTTAAATCCTAATATTTAATTGATTTTTGTATTTTTTTTGTAAATTCTTGTATTTATAGTTTTATTATCCGTTTTAATTTATGGCTTTTAGTTAATTTTTATATTCTGTTTATTAAAAGTTTACATTTTTATGTAACACTCTTTTTGTTAATATCAAACAGTATATGTATTTAAAGGAATATTTTAGGAATGACCGCAGAGCTGCTAGCTTGTGTTAACCACAAGTTACAAAACACACATTCTCACACAGTACACGCCATCATCCACTAAAATAGACCTCACTACAGTCTGAAACCTTAGGGACCAGTAAACATTGACTTTATAGATTTTATTCCCTTCTAAAAGATCTTAATTTAAGTGAAAATTATCTTTTTCTTAAGTGTCCTCATAAATTCTTAATTTCCGGATGGTCCTCACATGGATGTATGAACAAGAACTCACACACAGTCCCAGTGAACCAATCATTACATCAGCTCTGTTTGATTGGCTTGTTCCGGCTTTGGGATATTTTGACATCGCTGTATGTGACGTCTTCTCCCATTTCCACTTCAACAGCTGAAATTAAACACAAATACACATAAATATTCCTCGAATTATTACTGATTCTTAAGGCGAGACACGGCAGGCAAAAACATCGTTTTTCATGCACTGGTCAATTTTGAGATTTTGTGCTATTTTGATTCCATAACATATTTTCTTTCAGGCTTTTGGAAGGAAAATGTACAAAATACACATTTAGGTGTTTATTTTACTATAGTTTGTCTATTTGCGTCTGTAAATTTCTCCTAAATTCACCAAAAGTTAGCATTCTAACGTAACATAAAGTACCGCAACCGCTGTTTGCACCATATCATTAGATATATCGTTGGAAAGCTCCGTCCCTCCTGAACAATCTCATCGGATCCAAATATGGTCATTTCCTTTGTATCAGCAACCAATCGTGAAAGTACAAAGGGGTCTTAAACCAAGAAACGAAATCTCATTGGCTGGTGCCAATTTCTGACAACGTGATTCGTTCAGATGCGTCACGTGGTGTGCTAAAACACTTCCTGGTTAGCTTTCCGCTGGAAATTTAAATCTCAAAATGGCAAAAGAACAGCGAAAAAAAACGTTCACAGAGAAGACAACAACAATTGTCACTTAAACGAATCAATGTTAGACAATAAACAAATTATCCCGAACATGAAATACCTTCACGGAGTGAGTCGAGCTGTCATCCAAAGAACAGCAGAGTTTAGGTAGCGCCACACTGCAATCTTTAAAGGTCGTTTTCTCAAAATGAGTTTTTTCTCCTACTCTGAGTCCGAAATGTCCACTTCAGTAGCACATACATACACCAAACTTTCCAGTTATATTCCTATCAATATTCTGAAGGCTTTTACAGAAGGGTTTGTTCATATATCATTCATAGTCTGAATTATATAAAATGTTATACCTAAAAATATGGCGAAAATGGATATTTTAGGGCTGTTGACAGTATTTTCTGATTTATTTTGTGATAAAAAGAGATATCCAAAATCCCTTCTGTAAAAGCCTTAGATTCTAATATGACTACAAATTGAAACAAGCATTTTGAACCTAGCTTTATCCAATGTTCAGAATTGTGTTCCTGAAATGTGTTCCTGAAATGTGTTAAAATATGCGTCGCATATGTAATGAGATAATAGCTCATTTGCAAATTTAAACATGCTATTTCAGAAAACTTGTAATTAACTGGAGATATCTTTAAGTTAAAAAAATTACCCTATTCACCTGCAGTGTCTCGCCTTAACAGAAGTGAAACGTAACATTTTAAAATCTACAATTTTTTACTCAAACTGCAGTAAAATAATAATAATAATAATAATAATAATAATAATAATAATAATAGATTAATTTTGTTAGCGCTTTTACAGGTGCTCAAAGTCGCTTTATAGAGATAGTGAAAAGAAAAGAACGACAAATATATATAGTTAAAGTCAAATTAAAATCAAGCAATACAAAGCAATACAAAAACACACATTAAAAGCCAAAAGAAAATATCATGTGAAACGATCAAAAGCTCACTGATTGGATGAATTAATGGGCATCTAGTTATCAGCAGTCACTTTGTGAATTAACATGAAGTATATATTCAGTGTTTTGCATCAATTTAACCCTACATAACAAATTAAAAACGCATTGTCTTAACCTGCACCAAGCCTGTTTTTCATGTTTCAGGCTCGAAAATGACATGCCCAAAACAAATGACTACAACTTAACTTCTAAAAGGGTTATATGAATAATTTCTTTTATCAAAGCAAGGTTACATCTGTGAGTTGGATGTAGAGCTGTCATCTTCCATTTACAAGCTTAAAAATGCCTGTAGCTAATGGGATTGAATATAACAATCAAAAATAACAAAATACACACAGCTAGATCAGATCGCGTTTTAGATGCGACTTTAGAGTAGAGGGGAATTATTGAAACGGGATGTGTGCAGTGTTCTGCGGCATCCGCCGCTGCGAAAATGTGGGGCAGGGCTGAAAAGTGGGGAGGCCAATGGCCCCCTGGCCCCCCCACTTCCGGCACCC